CTTGCACAGAAGTGGTAGTCACTTAGTTCTTGCTAGTCAAGATGGGATTGGCATTTTCTGGTCCCTTTCTCTTTCACGGCATTCTTCCTCTTAAAAACATATGAAAGTGCTTGGACAAATTGGAAAAAATTTGTTGAAGGACAGTAACAATTCTCGGAAATGTGTAAAGTCTTTAGAATGTAGGGAGAACAGAAAGATATGGGCTGCATTTTAAAATGATAGTTAATCCATTCATAAAACTATATCTATTAAAGCAGCATGGTATTTTTTTCCCTATATAATTTTCTCAGTGTTAACAAAAGGAAAACTATTACCATGCAATAAAATTCAAATTCAGATTTCTTTACAGGATGAAGAACAAAATTTGAGTGTAACTTTTAGTAACAAAAATAAACTGTGAAATATAATTCCTCCTAAAAAGAAATCTTGGTGGTTTGTCTTCATAGGAATCTTGCTAGTTCTGTTTTTGAAAAAATAAGTTATTTTTGTTAATATGGAAACATATTGCATCAATAGCTCATAGGCTGTTAACGCTGACTCACTGGGAATATTTTAAATACTTCAATGTATCTGAGACGTGGTTTAAAAACAGAAGTTGAAAATGGTCTTCTCATTCACTTTCTTATTTGTATAGTCAGCCAGGGACGACAGGGTCCTCATGATTTTGAGTTCCTAGAACATGTGCTGTGTTAGCCTTTTATTTCTATACAGAACTGAATCAAAAAAAAATTAAAGGAAGTAGTTACCATTTTTTAAAAAAAGTATCATATTAGATTAAAAATAGCACCTAGCTACTTGTCTTTTCATATGTCTGTTTTTAATGAAGCTTTATCAACATGCATTAAGTGCTGTCAACTGTGATAATACGTGGGAGTAACTTGACATGTATTCAGCGAAGACAAAAACAGCTATTAAACATGAGAAAAAGAAATGATGAATCTTGCACTGAGTAAGGACACAGTATGAATCACACTGATAATTTTCCATGTTTACTCTTAGGCCAAAGCCATTTCTGTTCAAAGGGGACCACAGGTACCCAGCGTCAAATCCTGAAAGTCCCATTGTCATACTTTATGCTGAGATTGGCACAGAGGAGTTCTACAGATTCCATAAGCTCCTTGTTTTAAAGGCTGAGGCAGGAGAAATCACTTACATCCTCAGACACTACATTGCTGTAAGTATATTTGCATAGCAAAAGTTTGATTCTTTTAGATTTACATTTACATAATGCATTGCTGCTTGATCATAGTACGGAATACTGACATTATTGTATCATTGCATATAGCTGAGGACTGGAGACTATTTAACGTCTCCTGATTGTTTAAGTAAGAGAATCGTTTGGTTTTTATAAATGCAGAGCTAGTCTCCAGATAAATTACAGAGTTTAACCTAGAAAAATGTTGTTCTATCAAATAATAGTCAGATATTTCCACAGTCAGGCCACTCAAGTTACTTGATATGAAAAGCAGAGATTAACCTTAGGGTCCAATTTTCAAATGAAAGGCCATTTTGTTACAGAGCCACTTACCAATCCTAGTACAACTTGTCCCATTTTCCATCTCCTTCCCATAACCACTGCTAACCACTGGATTGATATTTAACTCTACATTTTAAAAGCTCAGACTTCTATTTGACTTTTTCTGAATATTGCTTAATGCCTCTAAAACCTTCAGCAGAGCAGCTAGTAGCCAGACTTGAATGCAAAAAAAAAAAAGTTACTTCTAGTGACATCAGATAAAATAATCATACATTGCATACACCACTTTCCTTTTTAAAAGTAACTTGTCTATCCTTGTCATTGTGTGGTAGGTCTCGGTACAGTTGTGTTAGTACAGTACAGTACTGGAGAATCACTCATGTTTGTTTCTCACTTGCAGTTATCGGTTGGGTCTAAAATGGATATGAGCTTGAAATTTTTTAGCTTTGGGAAATGGCAGCTTTTAATTTGTAGATCAAAACAAAGAGTGGCAATGTACTGTTTGCTTTTGCTTACAGAATCCCAGTAAAGAAAAAGTCTACCTCTCCGGCTATGGTGTGGAACTGGCTATTAAAAGTACAGAATACAAGGCCAAGGATGATACGCAGGTGAAAGGTGAATTCTTATTTTAACTACTTTAATGTGAGCATTTTAATTTTATGGGGATATATTTATATAAATATAGATAGATTACTTATAATGTGTACGGGATATATGGGGTTTGTATATATACATTCATATTTACAGGGATATTTAGTTTTATATATGAGTGTATATATATATATATGTATGTCTGAATTGCAGATATTCGTCCTTCTGATCTGAAATCACGAAAATCACTGTCTTTCTCTTTTTGGGATTACATTCTTTGAATCATATATTCGCGGAGGCACTTGTTTTCCTTATTTCTGAAATGCTGGACAGAACAGTGTCATGACTGCACTAGATCTTATTAATGGCACTATTAATACAACTAATTTTGCACCAGATAACCAGATTTATTTGCAGATGTACTGCACTTCACTTCCTCTACTTCCAGTTCCCTTAGCTTATCCATCCTCAGAGCAGAATGTTTCATGTTGTTCTTTGGAAAAACAGAATGCTCTGTAGGTTTTTTTGCTTTTGCTGCTCTGTAGAGCACTGATCTGTTTTTCAAACTCTCATGCATCTGCCAAAGCTATTTTATGGTGTGTGTGTGTATTCGTATATGAATATGTATTCAATACATATTCATACGTATGAATATGTATACACACACACAAAGGTAAACAGAATTCTCTGCTTTTACTTATGACTTAAAAAAAAAAACAAAAACAAAACAACACTTTTTTTTTTTAAAGTTACAGATAACAGCTGTGAAGAAGAGAACTTAGATTTTGAACTGAGTTTTGCAGTTTATCCAGCTTCTAGATACAGATCTAATCTCTGACTTAAAATATCTTATCATGGACTAGAGTATTGACAAACAGAACTACTGGTCTTTATTTTTAGAAAGATTTAATTTTGAGAGGAACGAGAATACTAAAGCAGATGATTCAACTTACAATTTTTGTTACCAGTGTTTAAATTTCCATTAATACATTATCAAGTCATGCAAAAGTGCTGATATTGCTTGTAAAATAGGAGGTTGGAAGCCTTTGTCTCCAAGTGTCTATGTGAAAGTAATTCTGGGGAAAAGTTTCTTATCTGTAAGTTTGTAAAGTTTTACACCAGTATCGATGCAGTGATTAAAAATGCTTTAGAAAATAGACAAACCATGTGGATAAGCTGCAGATTAGAGGTGTATGGTTTTCATCAAACTCCTGTCTGATTCTGGTCAGTCTCTTATGTGTGCCTGTGCTGTTTCTGCATGTCCATAAGCAAGCACTCATTCAACAGGTTGGGACTTTTTGATTAGACTTGAGAATGAAACTTGTAGATTGGAGCTGGTTTGTGTCCACCTAGTTAAGAGATTGTGTGAGTCTTTTGCACTTTTTGTTATTTTTGTTATTTAAGCCCAGAATTGGACTTTACTCAGATACTGTTTTTTATCCTGTATTTTGGGGCTAAAATCAGGATTATGCTCCTGATAGGAGTTTTTCACTTACTCTGCAAAGCTTTCATGTCATGAAAGCTCCTAGGCCCCAGTGATTTCTTCTGCAGCGCCTAAACCTCTGAGTCTCTGAGATTTCCATTTAGTTTAAGCTTTTGCTTCTAAGCAATCCAACTAGGTTTTATTTCAGCTGTTACAGTGTTAGTTTGTACAGTTAGTGTGTCCTGGATACGGGTTCCAAAGTGAACCTGAAACTTGGCTTTTTTCTTGTCCTCAGTTACTACAGTATCATTTTGTTGAACTTACCAAAATAGGCATGAAAACTATTTCTGAATAGTTTGGTAGTGTTTTCCTTCTCTGTGTTTATAGGCACAGATGTGAATGCTACAGTAATAGATGAAAATGACCCCATCGATGAAGTTCAAGGATTTCTTTTTGGGAAACTGAGGTAAGACTCCATTGCTGGGTTAGCCATATGTGTTAGCAGCGTACTTCTTCATATGCTAGTTCCTTCAAATTAGTAGCAGACTTGCTTACAGGAAACCCCAGAATTGCTTTACCCTTATTCCTTTTTAGGCAGTTGTATCCTGACCTGATGGAAGAGCTGAAAGAACTTAGAAAACACCTCGTGGAGAGTACCAATGAAATGGCACCTTTGAAAGTATGGCAATTACAAGGTAATCTGTATGAACAGCTTCAATACAGCATTGCTAAAACTTAATGTAAACCAGTCTTCCCGTGCTCTATAAAAATGAGGCCAGTAGTGGCTGCACGCAGTTCAGAGAACTTGACTGTAAATTTCTGCACTGGAAGCAACCAGCTTTCTAAAGCTTCTTTACACAGTCCTGTTGAAATACCTTTTGAAAGATTATTTCATGGGACTTCTGAAGTGAAGTTTGCTTTCTATATTTTGAAGAATAGAAAGCCACTTGTTCTTAAACTAACTAAATGCAGAATAGCAAAGGAAATGTAAAGTTTCTTTCCACGATCACATCCTTGGTGTGGAAAGCTGAGATTTCTCAAGACCAAAATAAATCTATTTCAAGAATCTCTGCATGCAGCTATGACCTATTTCCTTGCAAATCATCAGTAGAAGTCTGTGGAAGGGTTGTTCATCCTCTGAAAAAAAGTAATAGGAAATACTGAACATGTGTTGTAGCCACAGTGAATCTACCTATATCCAATCAAGTGGTATTTGTATTTCTAGCTTGTGAAATAATTCCCTAGGCCCCTTCTGAAGGGTAGATCCTCCTACCCAGACCAAAAAAAAAATGATTGTCTAGTCTCATTGAAGCTACCTGTAGGTGGTATTGGTTCATACTGAAAGGATTATTTATTTCAAGGCAAGTAATAGAAGAGAAGAAGACAAAAGAAGGTATCTAAAGGTGCAGATGAAAAAGTAAATACTTTTTTTTTATGTAACCAATGAGCAAAAAAGTTGAAAGCCAGAATTAAGATGACTGCAGTAGCATGTTTTCATTTTATTGTTGTTTCACTTGTAGATTTAAGTTTTCAAACTGCTGCACGCATTTTGACTGCTCCCCCTGTGGATGCTTTGATGGTCATGAAAGATCTCAGTCAGAATTTTCCTACAAAGGCCAGGTAATTCCAATAATGAATACTTGGAAAGTTGTTTTTTTTCATGTCATTTTTCACAGCAGAACATGAGACGGGCAACAGTGGTTGAGTAAATGTCTGCATTTCTATTTAGCTGAAAGCGAACACCAGAGAAGGTTTATGCAGAAATGTTCTTCAGCTTATGATTACAGTGAGGATCTTAGTGTTTCTCTTCGGCAGTTGGTGTGGAGTAGTGCAAAATTTGACAGACATGAGCTGTTGGTGTGAAATGCTTCTGAACCTTTTGTTTTGAGTCTTCAAGAATTTATTGGGTAGGATTTCCATTTGGTGTCTTAAACTTAACCTTTTCACTGGATCCCACTCTTTTGGGATTCATTTCAGCAGACAGCCCAGTCAACTGTGTCAGATGTTGATGTGCAATTCCACTGTTCTTTGCACTTTGTCAATTTCTTGAAATTAATTTGAATGTGCTCAGGTAATTCAGTCATAATGTGGCCTGCCCAACCAGTGAAGAAATAGATTTCTTTTGATAGATTTCATGACCTGGGTTGTAAAGATGATGATGTAGGAGCTGCTCCTTTTTTGAGCAGATGCAGATATACTTGAATGTAAATAAAAAAAAACAAACAAATTCTGGTCTTATCCCCAGTGATGGATGTTATGATTGTACTGTTGATAACTTCTTAAGGTGTGGATGGTCTTGTCACTTAGCTCACAAATATGACCAGAAACTGAACTTGGCCCTTCTGTGACGGTTCAATCTCTAGATCCAATATAAGGAAAGGAATGGGAGCCCACAATAAAGAGTGAAATCCCTGTATTTTGTGCTGTCAGATTCCACCTCTATCTTTCTGGAAGCTGCCCACTTTTATTATGGGATTAATGTGAAACTAGACACGGAGTCAAAAGCTTGTCTTTCCTGGTACAGTTGGCATGTGAACAATGGTTTTATGTTCTCTTGAATTATGTATATATTTCAGGAAAAAATGCTTGGTACTGCAAAGTGCAGGTTCTTCTGATTGTAGCTTTTTGTATTAGAATACTAAATATATTGAAAGTACAAAAAGTGGGATAATTAGATATCTAATCTATCCATTAGATAAACAGAAAGATGATTCACAGCATCATGTTTTTATTTCTGCAGAGCCATAACGAAAACAGTTGTTTCCTCCGAACTTAGAGCAGAAATTGAAGAGAACCAAAAGGTAATGCTTCCAGGAAGTAATGTAGTGATTTCACACTTATATTTTAATATAAATTCAAGCTTTGATAATAATAATTTATTAAAAATGTCAGTTTGCCCCAAATATTGGCACGCTGTTTTCACATGCAATTTTGTCTTAGTATGCATTTGGGAAGCAAAGAAGGGGCTCAATTTTTCAAACATGGGTTAAGAACATAATTTAGGTTGTTTACCCAGATATGAAAATGCTGGTAAAAAATTCTTCGAGTAGGATCAAGAGTTTGTTGAGGAAAGATGGCATGGGTATTTTGTTCTTAGAGCTGCCACTGTAATAGTTCACAGTAGTCAAGTGCTCCAACAGTTATTTGGCAAGCACTTTTTAATATATATGAAAGGGACATTCTGAACTTAGAATCTGTTAACTGTATTTATTTACCATTATAAAATGAACTTCAAATACAATGAAGGTAACACTGGGGAAAAATGTTCTATTTGTTTTTCTGAAAACAGATGGCTTAAGTGTTCTTAGGATATCCACATAGACAGTCTTAATCTTATAATCAGGACAGGACTGCATCAGTAATGAAGTAGAAATGTTGATGTCTGTCACATTAGTCCTTGCTTCTTGTGCAACCACCCCGAGTATGATGCCCTTGTAGTGATGGCTTGTTAGCTCAAAATGTTGATATGGTTAATACGTTTCTTGTAGTACTCTGCTATTCTTTCAAGTCTTTGACATTATATTTGCTTGAATAGTACAACAGATGTGTAAAATCTGAATGTCACAGCACTGCTCATTCTGGTTCACAGTTAAAAAAGAGGTTTTCACTAATTTCAAGTTAGTGATTGTTAGTTTTGATTGTATCTTGAACTTATCAAAAGGAACTGGATATTAAGTGTGGGCACTTTTTAGTGAAAATTATTAGAGTGAAAAGGTAGTTATGTTTTTGGATTATTTTAAAATGTCTAAGGTTAATGGAATGTAGCTTGTTAGAAAGCTATTGCTTTAGAAGTTTTAAGCACCTTTTAATAGGTTTTTGAGGATGCAGATTTCTCATCATGCAGTTTGAGATGGTGCTTAGATATCTGAATTGATCAGCGTTTACAAGGAAACAGCATAATAAATAGGAAAACTTCTGTCATGACTTAAAATGATCCACACTATTTGGAAGAAATGGTCCTAACGCTGTTGTTTTGAGAGTGAAAATAGTAAAGGAATAAAAATTTAACTGTTATCTAAATAAGTCTACATGTGTTTTGAAATGAAAACAAATGTTGTGAGGGATCTGTGGAGGTCATTGCTTAATGTTTCAACAGCTCTGTTGTTTATTTGGTGTTAGCAAAGCACTGAAAAAAATAATGCTAGGAAATCTTGTAATTGGTAATAAAGCAAAGCCAAACAATAGATTTTGGTATATTATCTGTGCTGCTATAAAATGTAGACAGTTATGTCTTTGTTTAAAATCTGATCACTGATATTTCGCTAGTCTCATAGTAAATGCAAAATTACTGGAAGCTACTTACCAGTCCCCTGAGATTCCTGTTCTGAAAGAGAAATCCCTTGTTGTTCAATAGCAATAAAATGAGAAAAGAAGGGATGCGGTTTGACACTGTCGTCTGGTGTGGTTCTGGAAGGGACAAAGTATAGAATGTAAGTGCAAGTTAAAGCTACCTGGTGGCTTTTCTGTTTTGTGCTAGATCAGACTGGTCCTCAGGTAACCCCCCATGGTTTGGTGGATGCGGTTTCATTCCAAATACATCTAGGTTACCAGATCCAGATCTGGCTAGATCTAACCCTGCCCTTCAAAGCTATTCTTTGCATGACTGTCGGTTTGTGTGGATATTACCTGGTAGTAAAGTTCACTGCTTTTAGTAAGTTATAGTTCAGTATATAATTATTCATAAAAAGGCAGAAATTAACACTGCATGTACTCAGCTCTTCTCTGGGAGCTTTTATTATTTAATAAAATATTTAAATTCTTCCAGACTAGATGCTGCTTTCTTATTCTTGGTACTTTATTTGGTACTTTGCTATTCCTCCATTTGCTTTGCTCTTCTTCATGATATTAGGCTTTTTAATGTCCAAATACTGTGTTTCTCCTTCAGTGTTCATTGTGCCTCTTAAGGGAATTTTATAGCTGATACTGCATAGCAAGAGGTACTGGAAGGCAACAATGACATTTCTAAGTTTAAAAAAACAGTATTTTTTTCTTGCTAGAGTTGTGAACTTTGCTTCGGGAGGACTGTGTTTTATTTAACTCTTCTGGTTCAAAGTTGTTCTCTGTGGTGGTTCATCAACTCTGCAACAACTATCTGCTCAGTTGGGGTACTGCTTAGAGGTACTTGGAAGAAATTCCAGTGTATTCATAAGAGTTTTCTGTTTGCGGGATGCCTGATCTTTGGGAGATCAGACTACAGAAACACCTCATCTGCTTTTCATTGATGACATATCCATTAGCCCGTGACTTAGTTGGTACCTTAAACACAGTAGCTAGTTATCCTCGTGAGTACCCTTCAATAATCCAGCATGTAAACATCTGGTTTTCTCAAAACTAAGCTTTAAAAAACTAGGATAGTTAGCTGGATGCTATTTGTCAATCTGCTTTGTGGGCTGTCAGCTAAAAAAATATTAAATGACAACTCTCAAGCACTTCTAATGATGTAATCTGATTTCTTTAAAAAAAAAAATCTGCTCAGGAACTTTCCAAATCTGCTAGTGAGTCATGTAGAAACAAATAGAAGTCTCATTTGTGTGTCTATGCGCTAGATAGCTTCGATTGTGTCTTCTGGTATGAGTGCGTGCACAAAGTCTTTATAATAAAGACTGTAGTTGGGAAGTAATATAATGCAACTTGGAATAATAATGGAGATAAAATCCACAGTTTTGACACACTGAACTCCAGTAACATTTACTCTATGCACAGCGTTCTTCTAATGCCCTTCTTTCTACTTTCTTTCAGTATTTCAAAGGAACATTAGGGTTACAACCGGGAGATTCTGCTCTCTTCATCAATGGACTACTTATTGATTTAGACACTCAAGACATATTTAGGTAGGAATGTCTTCAGAAAAATTGTATCATTTAGAATCTTGTATACTGCTTGTGCATGGGTAGTAAAGTCATTTAGACAGTTTTGAATCTTCAAAATGTCTGCATATTTAGGTTAGGTTTAAAAGTTAATTGCTGGAAAATGCAAATCATGTTTCCTTCCATTATGCAAATGAGTTTGTTTTACAAAAATGTTGATAAGAGAAGCGCAATACCCAAGAATATCAGAATGGGAAGTCACATTTATATTGTTGTTGTGCTACGTCCTGTGAACAAGTAAGATTTTGTTTTCCAGGGACCGTCTTCAGATTTTATTCTGAAGATAGTAGACTATTTGATTCTCAAAGAATAAGTCCATGTACGTTTTTAATGTGAAAACCACCCTATATTTTTTATCAAGATCTGTTTCAATAGTATGGAGTTGAAATTACATATGTCTCATGCTTTACTTATCTTTATTTAATGTAGTTTTTTTTCTAGAAATATAATTGGGTGACTAAAGTTGTCTCAAGTTCCTTGGGATGGTTAGAAATAGGTGAAAAATAAACAAGCCTATAAATATCAATAAACCTTTGCACTACTACTTATACCTTTAATCTGTTACTCTTAGGGTACAGCAAGTTATTTGCTGCATCTTTAAAATTCATATATTTTTTTTTAATTTTCCTTCCAGCTTGATTGATGTACTACGCAACGAAGCCCGTGTTATGGAAGGCCTGCACAGCTTAGGAATTGAGGGTCTTTCCTTGCACAATGTTCTGAAGTTGAACATCCAGCCATCAGATTCAGATTATGCTGTGGACATCAGAAGCCCTGCTATTTCAGTGCGTGTGGTTTTTATAAAGAAAATATCTTATTTGCCTTTGAGCGGTGCATTCTTAAGATGTCAGGGGAACTTCTGTTCTTACCTCGATTGCAGTGAAGAAAAGAGAACAGTATGGATAACAAATGTTGTGTTTTAAATGTAATTAGCTCTTCTCAAAAGTTTGTTTTTATTCGTGTAGTACTCAGTATATCATCTAATTATAAAATATTTAGAATCTCAGGCTTGAGCAAGAAGAACAGTCATTTAAATGCCTTTATTTTTTTTGTTAGTGGATCAACAATCTAGAAGTTGACAGTCGGTATAATTCCTGGCCTTACAGTGTGCAAGAACTGCTGCGTCCCACATTTCCAGGGGTGATCAGACAAATCAGAAAAAACTTCCATAACTTTGTAAGTAGTATTCTGACTAGAAATGAAATGTGCTCATGGGTGTTGTGTGTGTTTTGTTGCTTTTGTGTTGTGTTGTTTTGTTTTTAACATCAGGGACATTAGCTTTGGGAACTTAACCTATGTGTACTCTGGATTCTCTGCCACTTGAGATATCTCTTAAAATATTTTGTTTTACTGTACTATTGAGCTATGACTGAAATTATTGCACATGATTCTCTGGCATTTATTAGACTGGTTGAGTGTATGCCACTTACACATCCACAAATTGCTCCACTGGTGGAACAAACTATCATCTGACAAGGGAGAATTTGTATGCATTACAACTTTGCAATACCTGAAGTTGGTTCATGAAATGGTTCATGAAGTTGGTTCATCAGTCCTCAGCTTAATCCTGGGTGTCCTTTTTGTCTCTGGGCAAACCGGTTATATTTAGATCCAATAAAAAGTTAGTGAAATCTCTATGGTAGCTCTAGAAGGTAGATGGTAGAGGACCAGCTTGTATGGGATATTTTCGGTTATGATTCTGGATTTCTTAAAGGTTTTAGGAGAAACTCTGACTTAGTGGGTCTCATCTCTCTGTCAGTATATAAAATGAGATTGATAATACTGCAACAAAATGTGAATTAAGAAGAGTATCTTGACTTCTTAAGGGAATAGAAACCTTTCACTTTTAATTTATGGGTAGGTGCTGATAGTAGATCCTACTCACGAGACCACAGCAGAATTACTGAATGTGGCAGAGATGTTCTTCAGTAACCACATCCCACTGAGGTAATTAACTGTCTTTCTGCTTTTTTTAATGTTCATTCTTGTAACTTCTGCAATTGTAAAGTACTTACTGCTAGAACACTTTAGGAATGTTAAATATCTAAATATCACAGAATCACCTAGGTTGGAAGAGACCTCAAGATCACCTAATCAAACCTCTGACCTAACACTACCAAGTCCTCCACTAAACCATATCTCTAAGCTCTACATCTAAACATCTTTTAAAGACTTCCAGGGATGGTGACTCCACCACTTCCCTGGGCAGCCTGTTCCAATGTCTAACAACCCTTTCGGTAAAGAAGTTCTTCCTAACATCTAACCTAAACCTCCCATGGTGCAACTTCAGCCCATTCCCCCTCGTCCTGTCACCAGGCACGTGGGAGAACAGACCAACCCCCACCTCGCTACAGCCTCCTTTAAGGTATCTGTAGAGAGCGATAAGGTCGCCCCTGAGCCTCCTCTTCTCCAGGCTGAACAACCCCAGCTCCCTCAGCCGCTTCTCATAAGACTTATTCTCCAGACCCCTCACCAGCTTTGTTGCCCTTCTCTGGACTAGCTCGAGCACCTTGAATATCTTGTATTGGTGTCTGGGAACGGCACTTTCTGAACATTTTCCTTAAAAATTCTTAAATGTAACTTTTGCTACCAGAAAAACAAAGTTGAATAAAAACTTCTTCAACAGTCCAAAACAAACTTAAAAGCAAGTACTATGGATGAAAGAGAGATGAAAGCAACATTCTGATGGACTCACCATTAGAGATTGTATGTCATAATGTTGATTCCAGGTCACACTGCTCAAAATCTTCTATTTAGTCTATTTAGGGAAAAGCCTTTGCTTAAGATGATGATTGTATTCCACAGTTGTATGAAGAGTTGATTATTTATTAGTATAATAGATTCACATTACGGGGGTTTGTTTGATTGCAGGATAGGACTAGTCTTTGTGGTTAATGACTCAGAGGATGTTGATGGACTTCAGGATCCTGGTGTTGCCCTTCTTAGGGTGTACAATTATGTGGCACAAGAAATGGACAATAATTATGCTTTCCAGACAGTCATGTCAGTAAGTATTCATTTAAAATGGAAAAAGGTATTTTTAATATTTTCAACATATATAAGATTAGCGTGGTAAGTTTTTTTCTAATCCTACCTCGTTCCTCATTCTGCCATTGAATTCTGAACTGCTGTATATCTTCAGTGTAATATAATTTTTATCTTGAATAGCTCCTGCTTTGTATTTTTGCCCCATAAAGTGATAAACATGTAGGTACTAGCAAATGCATTTTCACTTGTGGTTTGACTGTTTTAGAAATCTATAAGCTGGGGTGTACTGTAATATTATACTGCTGGTAGCTTCAAGACAATGACTTCTATTCTCAGTTTTGTTTCAATATAAAATTTTAAGTCAAATAAGCAAAATCTTGTGCTTTCAAGAAGGAAACATAATCAGTTGTATATTTTACATGTGAGGCTTACTCAGTTGTTCATGAGCATGTCTTGAGTTTAGAAGGGAAAAGTAGCTCTTCGGATATGCTTACATGATCATCTCTTTTTCCAAGCCCTACTTTTGTAATTAAAGATAAATTTGAAGAATAGTCATTTGAATGACTATAAGGTAAAGCAGGATAATTTTCACAGCTATGAGTACTTCGTAATTTCTAGCTTTGTACTTAAATGTTATTTCAATGGATAACTGTGTTTCAGCAGAAAATGTTTTGCAATTCATGTTAATGTTTTATGTCATTACTGGAATACAGGTGGTAGGTCAGCTTACCTGTAAACTTGTATTTGTATCCCCCTTCCAGATATATAACAAAGTAAAAACAGGAGATCAGCTGAAAGTGGAGCATGTGGTTAGTGTTCTTGAGAAACAGTATCCTTATGTGGAAGTGAACAGCATTCTGGGAATTGATTCTGCCTATGATCAAAACAGAAAGGTAAGAATTTAGGAAATAAAACATTTTTCACCATTTTGCTTCAAAGCTGTTATGAATTTATGGTTATGTATGTTTCCTTCATGCAGCTCTCTTATTTACTAAGCATGCATCTATTAAACTATCGAACTGGTATGACTTTTAATAATGCTTAAAGTGCAAACTTCAGTGCAAAGGTTCAGTGCAAACTTTTATAGAATATATATATTATATTATATTTTGGATTTCTACTATATGATTCCTAAAATCTCTGTAGTACAGGAATCAAGATAACTTTCTTGTGACTCATAGATCCTACATTCATTCTGGCATGTAGAATTTAGTAGAGTTTAAAACTGCATCAAAAAAAATTGAGGCACTGAAATGGTTCATAAGAAGACCAAGGAGCTTAACGTTTGGGAGGGACTGGTGTGAATTTTATCTATTATCATCATCAGTATTTGAATACTGTATGAAACAAAGCAATGAAGATGAATTCAAAATGGTCTTCCTATGGTGAGGCATTCAATAATCTTCCTCAAATAATTTCTTTAGGTTATTTTTAGGGTTGATCCTTTCCTATGTGGAAAAAGTTGGGAGAGCAAATAATATTGGATCAATTTTACGTGATGATGAGACAGATCTTATTTGGGATTCTATATATAATATATGTATATTATATTCATATAAAAATTCTAGATGAATGAATGAAAATTCTGTCTCCAAGAACTTTGTAACACTTAAGATACTTGTGTTGCAAATACCAATACTCGCATAGTTCCATGGGAGCTAAAGAGGAAACGCAGGTTTCATATTGTCCATTTTTTTGCTATTACCAGAATATGCTCATTAGAATCAATTTGTCTACACTATGAACTTAATGGGATATTCTGCTAGTCCGCTGCCTAGTTACCTGCACTTCCATAGTATAAAGCAACTCTTTGCTTTGAAATGCTGAAAGACAAGGCCATCATATGCATGTAAGATATAGGAAGTGTTTTACATAATGCTGAAAAGACATCTTAGTGTGTTTAGAACAGATATTTGTGGATATTGCATAGTAACATTGTGAACACCTGTAGTAACAGGCTGACATAGTAAAGCTACTTCCTTCCCTGGATTTAGGCAGCAAGAGCTTACTACGAGCAGACTGGTGTAGGTCCTCTCCCTGTAGTGCTGTTCAATGGAATGCCTTTTCAAAAAGATCAGCTGGATCCTGATGACCTAGAAACTGTGACGATGCACAAAATCCTGGAAACCACAAGCATCTTCCAGCGAGCTGTATACCTGGTAGGTGCTGAGTTCAGCTGTGACTTTTGAGGCAGTTTTTTCCAAATTATGTTTCTCTCTGAAGTCCGTAAATATGCAATACACAGAACAACTTAACTTGCAAAACTTCTTCTATTTTTATTAAGTTATGGCAAATATGTGTGTGATATTTAAATACCACCTTTTTTTCTTTTCTTCAGGGTGAATTATCTAATGATCAAGATGTGGTTGAGTATATCATGAACCAGCCTAATGTTGTTCCAAGAATTAACTCAAGGATCTTAATGTCTGACAGAGAGTACCTAGATCTGACAGCAATGAGTAAGGGATGCTTTTAATTCAATTAAACTTGAAATACCTGTTTCAAAGACATTTGCTGTCCCAATGGAAAACTGTAGTGGCAAAGCATTAACAGCACCCCAAGTAACATTCTAGTCCTGATGTTGGGGGAGATGCTACGTACAATAATAGCATCAGTATGTACAAACTTCTCAGAACAGGAATTTGTTTTACTTCTATACAGATCTTTAGGGGATTATGACTATTGAAATTGTGGAACACTAGTAAAAGTCAAAAACAGTACAGTCATGTACTCTATATATAAAGCAACATTTTGTTTCGTACTTCTAACCTACTTTTGAGTTGAGCATGACAGTTATCTCTGGAATTACTTAGGACTGGCTGTGCCATATATTTTAGCAGAACTTCTCATGGATAAAGTATTAAGTAATAACACTGAATGCATGCAGAGACTGCATTATAATGTCAGGACTGCAAATACAATTGTTCAACTACCTTTCTTGAAAAATAGTAAAAGCAATAGGATTTTGAATGTATATTGTTTAAATAAATTAACCTGAACCTAGTGACACTTAAATAATTCTTTCAATTAACTTCTACATATAAAAAATGCAATGTAGTTATTCATTTATGACACACAAAAAAATACATTCTTAAAGTTATTATATATTAGTAATGGAAATTAAATCTAAAAAGCAGTATCACAGGGGACAAAATGTGGGATGTGTTCTTACCATTTTCATAATAGTAGTCCTTTTTCTGTAATTTTACATGGAAATTGTTTGCTTTGGCATCTAAATACTTTTTCTCTTTGTCAGATAATTTTTTTGTGGATGACTTTGCTAGATTTACCACGTTGAATTCCAAAGAGAAGACAGCTGCTGTAGCAAACAGCATGACCTACTTAACAAAGAAAGGTAACATCTGCAGTGGATTATGAACCCAAATTTATTCTTGCATGTTTCCAAGCATGCATACAGTACTCAAGACACTCACTGAACCTTGATCAGGCCTGTGGACAGCGGTACGATCTAAGTGTTAAAAATAAACACTTTTATAGGGCTTGACATCTGCATAGAACAAAAATGTTCCCATCTGTAAACCCAGCCTCCTATTAATAATGGAGTCCCACCCAACCAGCTCTTCCTGCATTGCATAAAACCATCAGAAACGCAGCAATGTTAAGCTCCGATCCTCCAATTACACTGACTAAAAAAATATAAAGGGGGACTATAACTCTTTTTCCTAATTCAAAATTACTAAAAGGTGTATTGATTCAAAAAAAAATAAAATAAAAAAAAATTATTGCCCATTATATAAGGCAACTGCCAACCTGGTCTGTGCTGGTTTTATTTCCCCAGTGCACACACTGCTTTTTTTAATGATGGTATCGCTTTATTATAGGTATACCTGTGTCCCCTGTTAGTCTTAAAACTCTTCTACACTGCTTATTATAAGAAATGTGTGCACAGATATAATACAGAGTTTAATCAGGCCTTTTCTGCATTTTTGTTAGAAATCATAAGTAAGCTGCTGTCATTTGAACCAATTCCTCTTGTTCCTGCCTCTCTTCTTTACTTAGGCTCTCTTAAATTTCCCCAGTACTACTTCAGCCAGCTGCATGCGTGGCCTTAAGTGTTCCCACTGCTTCTGTCTAGTATTTGCCTTTGGTTTGTGTTGCCACTTAAACCTGAAGGAGTTTCTTGCTTTCTCTTTGTAGGTTATTAATTAAACCTCTCTCTCTGCATGCTCCTTTAAGTATGTATTAGTTTGCAATCCCATGGCTTGACAGTTCTGGGTCAAATAAGATACTTAATAACTGGTATCTGATTATAGTAATGCTGTAGCACATTTATTTTTTAAAGATAACAATGAATTTATATGTACAGATGGCTCAGCAGCAGAACTGAAATGGTGCTGTCTTGCTAGTTTTTGAAGAGTGAAGATAACAAACAATTCAAGTCATAATGGCACAGCTTTTTTTGCAAGTGGTCTTAAAAACAATACCTTCATGGGGTGGTGTGTGACTGCTATGACTAGTGCTGTAGTACGGAAATAAAGCATCAGTCTATCTGGTGGTGAGGAGGTGTCAAAATTTATTCTGATAAAATTAAGGTGAACCTGCTGCTTGCTGGAACTGAGCTTCAGTGATTCAATTATGCCCAGCACAGTGCTGCGACTTCTTGATATGCATTAGGATTACTGTCAAATTATTAACGCCTCTTTCCTTTTCCTCTTTTCCTTTCTGCTTTTTGACCAGGAATGTCTTCCAAGGAGATCTATGGTAAAACATGCTTTAGCATTCCGTATGTTGTTGTTTTGGGAATTTTCTGGTTCCTTTGTAACATTGGCTTTAGTACCAGCAAGAAATGAAGAAAGGTGTTTAAATGCATGTTTGGTTCATCACTTTTTTTCTTTAAACAAACCTGATTTTCTGAACTAACAGCTTCAGTACAAAGAAGTGATATATCTGTACCCTAGTTGGAATCAGTACGTTATTTATAGGTTCCTTTTATAATTTCTAAATTAAATCGGTACCAAAAATAAAGAAATCCAGTTTAGAAACAGTCATGCATGCTGTCCCATGTGGGTTTTCTGAATGAGGTAAATGAAATCTGATATCAATACTACTGTTCCTCTCTTGTCAGACTTTTTAGCTTAGCCTTCTCCACTTTTTTCATATATCTTTTTACATTTTTTTTGAAATCTTTGCATGTGCACCTTGTTTTTCCTCCAAATAAAGAAAACCTGAAGCTTTCCTTCATTCACCTTCAAATATTCCCCCTGCACCCCCCCTTTTTTTCTGCAGATGATTCTTTTGTTAGACCAGTTACTTTTTGGATTGTTGGTGACTTTGATAAACCTTCAGGAAGGCAATTGTTGTATGATGCCATTAAACACCAGGTAAGTAGTATTTTCACTTGCACAGGTTAGAAGTGATAATAAAACAGTGGAAAGAGGCTTGAAAAACACAAGTTGTGCTTCTTCCAGTTTTATGACCCTGGGGAGACCGGTTCTCTATTTTCCAGCTTAAGGGGGCTGGAACTTCCCTGACCTTCTTGTATTAGGACAGAATCCCCTCACGGCACTATGCTAATACAATAAAGAAAAGATGTTCTTTTAGGCCTCTGGTTCTAAATTGAAGGTGTCTGTGTTTTTGTTTGGAGATTAACATGAGCACTGCTCTCTGCTCTTATTTGTTCCAGGAAAGTAACTGAATTACAAAAATATGTAGCTTACTCCTAAATCACTCTTTTGCCAGCTCTCTGAGTGCTGGCCGTGGTCCTAAATCTCTTGTGTAGCACGGTATTATCTAGAAGATATCACAGTGATGCCTGTAGGTAAACTAAATACTTAAGTAAAATTAAGTATTAAAAAAAATAAGTTAAATTAGTTCATTCAGCCTTTTAACTTTGTGCTGTTA